GAGCAGGGAGCCCGACGCGGGACTCGATCCCGGGACTCCAGGATCATGACCTGAGCCGAAGGCAGTTGCTTAACCAACTGAGCCACCCAGGCGCCCCGCAACATACCTTAATTTAAAAATACTTCATTGCTGAAAAAAATGCTATGCATCATCTGGGCTTTCAGCAAGTTAAAATCTTTTTCGCCAGTAGAGTCTTGCCTCACTGTTGATGGCCACCACCTCACTGATCAGGATGGTGATTGCTGAAGGCTGCAGTGGCTGTGGCAATCTCTTAAAATAAGACAACAATGTAGTTTGTTGCATTGATTGATTGGTCCTTCCATGAACGATTTCTCTGTAACATGTGATGCTGTTTGATAGCATTTTACCCAGAGTAGAGCCTCTTTCAAAATTGGAGTCAGCCCTCTCAAACTCTGCTGCTGCTTTTTCAACTGAGTTTATGTAATATCCGAAATCCTTTATTTTCATTTCAATAATTTTCGCAGCATCTTCACCACCGCCAAAAACCACTTTCCTTGCTCATCCGTAAGAAGTGACTCCTCAGCCGTTCAACCTTTATCATCAGACTGCAACAATTCAGTCGTATCTTCAGGCTCCACTTCTAGTTCTAGATCTCTTGTTGTTTACACCACATCTATAGTTACTTCCCCCACGGAAGTCTTGAACCCCTCCGACTCATCCATGAGTGTTGGAATCAACTTCTCCCAAACTCCTGTTAATGTTGGTATTTTGCCTCTTCCCATGAATCACATATGTGATTAGTGGCATCTAGAATGGTGAATCCCTTCCAGAAGGTTTTAATTCACTGCCCTGCTGCATCAGAGGACTCACTATCAATGGCTACAATAGCCTTATAAAATGTATTTCTTAAATAATAAGATTTGAAAGGCAAAATGACTCTTTGATCCATGGGCTGCAGAATGGATGTTGTGCTAGCAGGCATGAAAACATTGATCTTGTTGTGCATCTCCACCAGAGCTCCTGAGTGACCAGGTGCCTTGTCAAAGAGCAGTAATATTTTGAAATGATTTTTTTTTCTTTTCTGAGCAGTATGTCTCAGCAGTAGGCTTAAAATATTCAGTAAACCATGTTGTAAACAGATGTGCTATCATCTAGGCTTTGTTGTTCCATTTATAGAGAGAGTGGAATTAGCACAATTCTTAAGAGCCCTAGAATTTTCAGAATGGTAAATGAGCCCTGGCTTTAGCTTAAAGTCACCAGCTACGTTAGCCCCTATCAAGAGAGTCAGCCTGTCCTTTGAAGCTTTGCCTTCCCCTCTCTAGCCATGAAAATCCTAGATGACATCTTCTTCCAATAGAAGGCTCTTTTGTCTACATTGAAAATCTGTTGTCTATTGTAGCCACCTGCATTAATTAACTTAGCTAGACCTTCTGGATAACTTGCCGCAGCTTCTATATCACCATTTGCTGTTTCCCCTTGCATTTTGGTTTTATGGAGATGGATTCTTTCCTTAAACTTCATCAAACAACCACTGCTAGCTCCAAACTTTTCTTCTGCAGCTTCTTTAACCCCTCTCTGCCTTCAAAGAATTGAAGAGATTTAGGGTCTTGCTCTGTATTAGGCTTTGGCTTAAGAGAATGTTGTGGCTGGTTTGACTTTCTATCCAGACCACTAAAATAAGGTTGTTTCATTTTCTTATCATTTGTGCGTTCATGGGAATAGCACTTTTCAATTCCTTCAAGAACTTTTCCTCTGCATTCACAATCTGGCTGATTGTTTGGAGCAAAAGGCTTAGTTTTGGCCTGTCATGGCTTTGAGCTACCTTCCTCACTAAGCTTAATAATTTCTAGCTTTTGTTTTAATATGAGAGATGTATGACTTTTCCTTTAACTTGAAGACTTAGAGGCCACTAAAGGGTTATTCATTAGTCTAATTTCAATATTATTGTGTCTCAGGGAATAGGGAGGCCCAAGTAGAGGGAAAAAGATGCAGGAATGGCCTGTTGGTGGGGCAGTCAGAGCACACAGAACATTTGTAGATTAAGTTTTCCATCTCATATGAGCGTGGTTCATGGCGTCTCAAAACAATTACAATAGTAACATAAGAATCACTGATCACAGATGAGCATTACAAATATAATAATAATGGAAAAAGTTTAATACATTGGAAGAATTACCAAAATGTGACAGGAAAACGCAAAGTGAACAAATGCTGTTGGAGAAATGGGGCCAATAGACTTGTGTGACACAGGGTTTCCACAAACCTTCAATTTGTAAAAAATGCAGTATCTAGGAAGCAAAATAGAGCAAAGTGCAATAAAACAAGGTATGGCTGAATTCAAACAGATACTCAACAACCAGTTCCTTTATGTAAACTTCAACTAGCTGGAAGAATCATACACGAGACATAAGGTTGTATATTAATATAATTAGACTTAATGGAATTGGCTAATATTCCACATGCTTTTTTAGTATGCACTCTATGATTATTTCATATTTTAATAAATGAGGTCAGAATTGCATCCTATTTAAAATTTAATGATGTAATAATGTTTGAAAATTTCAAATAGTTGATTATTTGACACAGTGAAAAATTATAAACTGATTTGTAGCTTTTTCTTTTTTGTCTCTGCAAAGCAAACCCAACACATCAAAAAGCAATTGTAAGTTTACAAGGCTATTATATGGCTTAAATTAATGCTCCCAATATTGTGCCGAATTTTAGCACTCACATCTCTTGGTGGTGTAACAACCCAGCAACAGTATTAGAAGAAGTTATAGGCCATCACCTTAGTACTATATTTTCAAGGCATGAGTATGAGCATCTAGTAATGAACATTAAACTCACTGTAACTCGTAAGAATGAAATACAGTATTTTTGGAAGAGGCATTTAATGCTCTAAAGCAATACAAATGATTCCCGTGCTTCATTCATGGAGAGATACAAGTATAATTTTAACTAGATCCTCATGAAAAATCGCTACCTGACCCACAAGAGCTTTTTCCTGAAAAAAGTTTGACTCAGACACATCTGACCCACTGTCATCATAGCACAAGTAGTCTTCCTATCTCTATTCTTTTCTCATCCTAATATATTCCAAACATAGTAAAAGATTAGTGTTCCTAAATCACCAAAGTTTTTGCTTCACTTGAGAAGCTCCAATGCCCCCAGTTTTTTCTAGTATTGTCTTTTACCCCAAATGCTGGTACCTGAGACTCTAGCACTTTTCAGGCTCATCTTCCACAACTGCAAAATAATTCTTGGATCTCTTGAATTGGTCTACTCCCTAAACCTGCTTCCTCCTAGTTGTATTTATCAAGTTTCCTCTAAAAAGAAAAACATCTACCTATCAAAACTGGTTATTATTAAGGTACTGACTTAAAAAAAAAAAAAAAATCACCTTTTCCCTAGTCTTGCTTCCTGGAAATCATCTCAGAATCTTTCAAATTTTCACAGCAGTGTTAATTTACAGATAATATAACAAAGCTGGTTATACCAATAAAAAACTGAAAAGTGTTTATATGTTTGTATATGTGGGGCTTTTTTGGGGGGTGGGGCGGGGGGGGTTATCTTATGTCTCCAGAGTATATCAAATATCTCCTGAAAGAAAAACAAAAAACACAAATATTGGGCGCCTGGGTGGCGCAGTTGGTTAAGCGACTGCCTTCGGCTCAGGTCATGATCCCGGAGTCCCTGGATCGAGTCCCGCATCGGGCTCCCTGCTCTGCAGGGAGTCTGCTTCTCCCTCTGACCCTCCCCC